GATATATGGTATTGATCTGCGTATTTATTGCATGACAGCGTCCAATGATTACTTGGCATTAGCAGCCCTATCTCACACGAAGTGGCCAACGTTGCCGCGTTTACTCTCCCCACCTGCGGCTTATTTATGACCCCAGGGAAATACTTACGTGAATAATGGACCCCTATCACTATGGCCAGTATGGGAAAGAATTTCAATACAACCTCTTTATTGCCTACATTTTATTGTTAGTACGATTAACAACCGTACAGAGACTGGCAAAAGCAGTTATAGTTTGTTTAACCTGTTACCCAATACCTTGTTATACGGTAATAAGGTTTGTTTTGTGTTTTAGTCTTAATAAAGAAATTAGAAAAGATTGTAAATTTTTATTAAATTGTGCTGGGCCATTTGCAATTACAAAATTAACCGTGGATTTCTGACACCAAAGTTCCAGTTCAAAACATATTCTTATGTCTGTTTCGCCAAAGATAATGAGAGGGATGACAATAAGTTTTATACAGGACCTTTAGTCTCAGATACCAACGGTAAGAAGAAGAGATAGGAAAGAGTAAACGACCCATACCAATACCCTCTTATTTGCGTCATAAGTTTTAAGTAAATGGGGAAACATAATAAAAGAACATTCTGTGATAAATTCAACGGGCTTTATGTTATTCTGGCAAAGCGTGAAAATAAACCTTTCCATTCACGCTACTGGCTGAAACTCTCCGTTTCACGTAAATGCAACCAAAATCCGTTAGCATTGCAATTATACAGCGTTCCATTAGAGCTGGGCTGGATTGCAAGCGCGTTGCGGAGACCTACAGCTTTACAACAAATCAAATGAGAATTTCTGGTGCAAAGTCGAAAATTTTATAGTCACTTTTTAAAACACATTAAAGGTGTACATTGCCCCATTCCGGACGTACCGCACGTACGGATTTAATGGATTTGATAACGCAGCGCTATGTAAAGTCATACAAAGCAAATGAAAATCCGTTGCGGGCCGTGCGTGCGGTACGTCCGGCGTCGGCCAATGGACGCGTACCTTAACACGATAGTTTTGTACTAAACGTTAAAACTATTGCTGGCACTTTACGTGAGTGTAGCCAGTTGGTAAATAATTAATGATTTTACTAACTAATACTACTGCTAGATAAGTAAAATTGTTACTACATATAATATAGTATCAATTAAGCAATATTATTTTCTTCTTCTATCTAAATTAGAAAGGCGCACACCATTTAGAACCTTTTCGATCATTTGGGTGGAAGAAGAAACTTTTTAAAAGTCTCAGTCTATCGCTAGCAAAACATTTAAGGGTTTCCATAAACTTTATTCATTTAAATGTGAATTATTAGTTTGAAAACCATTCCCGCACACTTATAAGGATCACCCCTCAATTACCATTAGGACGATATGCTAATTACTCGCGAACACGAATTTCAAAGAGTACACAAGTCTGTAACCGACCACCGACAGTTCAGCACACACTAGAATAATATTACAATATGATTACCAAGTTTTAATATTTGCATAGTGTTGAAAAGTTGGCGGTATGTTTTGTAATTCAAGTATATTTTATTGCATTTAAGCGTACCCCTTAAGGGCTTTAGAAAGTTTGAATTTTGTTACTATGAAATAAGGAGTAAGTATTACCTTCATTTATTTTAGCTTATGAAACATTTAAAGTACGTGTCCATTGGCCCGCGCCGGACCAACCGCACGCACACCGCAATGGATTTTAGTTAGCTTTGTATGATTTCACATAACGCTGCGTCTATCATCCGCGCCGCCCGCATCGTAAGACAAAGCAGATCCGTTTAATCCGTGTGTACGGTGCATCCGGTACGACAATGGACACTTACCTTTTAAATTATTTTAAAAGTAACACTCTAAAATGTACAAACTATCTCCTCCATATCCACAGAAAATGTTGCAAATAGCTGTATCGCAATAGATCATTTAAAAGATTACATATGGACCTCTTTCTAGAACAAAACAAACATTTTTATAGTAAAGTAGATTTTTATTTCTTTTTCTTTTCAATGATTTCACTTTGATGTATTAGATATCTAATTTAATTAGATATCAAACGTAGTACTAGAAGAAGCAGTTGTACAAATAGAATTGTTTACTTCAATAGACAGAGTTCAGTTCGTCTGGCGTACCGCAAGGCAATCAATTAGGACCAGACAAGCTATCTTACTGCTTTGTCTTCTTTTCTAACTTCAATTTATACCCACTAATGAACTCGAAACGATAGACATCGAAAGAAATACTATGCAATTAAAGAGATTTAAGAATATCAAAGTGCTTTTCCAGTTCTTAGTCTGAGTCGGTTAATTTGATTTTGTACTTTTAACGTACTATTGTAAAGAGAAAAGATTTTAATGCATTAAATAGGCACCGAAACTACTGAAGTTTTTTTTTTATTATAAAGCGGAAAACGATCAAGCGGTCATCTAAATTCGCCGAAATTGCGAACTACGAACTAAAAAATAACAGATGTGTTGCGTACCTTTAATCGATCGAGGGGATGCACAGATAAAGAATATTCCCCTTCCTATGCGTTTCCTCCTCCGTCAAATTCCCATCACCTTCCCATCTTTACCTCATAAGAAAAAGGTGGGAGAGGAAAGGGGACTGAAATTAGGTTCTTATACACACCTAAGTGATACTGTTAAATAAGAGAATATGAATACTACTATATTCAAAAAATAAGAAATACATTCATGACTAGAACAAATGGTTGCGTTTGCTATTTCAAAGGAACGTAAATATGAGATCGAATTTTTCCTTCAATTTCATTTCCTTAGCTACAAATAAACGTTTCTAACGCCTGCAACAATTTATGAAGAAGCATTACGCGTTACTACATTTTATGGGCAACAAATGACCAACTCTATATAACAAACACTACGTGCAGTTCTTGTGGTTCTTACTACTTTGACTTTAAGGCTGTTATCGTCTGACCCAAGTTTTGACTACATTTGTCATGTAGTTTTCCAAGGAGGTTGACATTTGTGAGTTCTCTCGCACGTTGGTCTGTATTTATGGATCTTATTTATTTTATTTCCTAATGTTGAACGTTTTGCGTCTTTTGCAGGAATATATAGGCTGTGTTTCCTTTACACGTAAATTTAAGAAATGTAATAACATATAAAATTGGCAACATCAAAGCTTGTTTTAAGAGAAATATGCTAAAGGCAAAAGTAATTAGGCTTAACATCATTTCAAAATTATTTTTCATGTTGAAAACAAAAAGTCGGAATGTTGTACCCGAAACTGCCTTAAGTCCTATAATAACTTTTTTTTTCAATAAAAATGTTAGAAAATATTCATAAATAGATGTAACCAAATATTATATTTTTTATAATTACGGTAAATAACTCCTTTAACTTCAAAAACTACTTCCAAAACAAAATACGCAAACAACTGAAAGCGGATACGGTGGGGCACATCCAATTTGGCCGCATTCAACCCGCGCTTACCCGCTAAATTGAAGCTATTTCTCATTGCTTGGTGTTTATAGCGTCAGCGCAGATGCTTCCTGCATAAACAACACAATATGGTCAGGGTGACAGAACTAAAGATTTTTTTTAAACTGGATAGAAGCAAACGCGCAGGCAACACCGAAACTCTAAACATAAATTTCAACTATAGTGTGTTATGACAGTCGAAATAAGAATTTTGTTAGAGTAGCATTATCTCTCTCTCTTTTTCAAAGGGTTGAGCGAGATGGCAATTTTATAGTAACACAGTGGTCAGAACAGCGAAGACTCGCTGTAAATAGCGAAATGACCGCAGCTCATAAAACAAGACTAAAATGAATTTAAAATTTTGATACCCACCTCTTAAGCGTTTGAATTTTCATGAGCTTAACGCAATTGAATGTGTAACGGGTAACATTAGAATAACTACTTGGTTTTAGAACTTTAATAAAACTTTTTCCTTCCCCTTGTCACACAAACTTGCCTCCAGACTTTCCGACAGTCGGGACGTGATTGGGCTCTTTAATTCGATTTACTCTTTATATATCCTGAACCTCAGAGGCAAAGTCAAACTGTAAGCTCTCTAATTTGAAATCTTACGTATATAAAAATATCGAGTGATATTTCCGTGAATTAACTACTTTTTCCACCTGCCTTGTGCAGGATCAGATCACTATTGCATACATCTCATGTATGAATTTACTTCTATATCCGTCAATAATTTTTCAATTCTCCATCCTTTAACCACTTTCATTCTCCAATAAATTTTGAAACTATTAAACCATTTTAGAGAATTTTTTGTAATTATTACACAAATCATCATCATCCTATCTTTTCTAGGACCTATTTGAACTTAACTAGGAAATTTTTTATTTCGATGATTGCCTAAATATTTGTGATCAGCTTTGTTTTTTTCTTTCGACTCAAGAATCTAAGAATTTATTTTCTTATAATGAGTTTAATATAAAATAGAGGAAACTGAATTTTTTCTCGTGATTTGTATTCTCTCAAGCGGTGCATAATAAATTGAGTAAAACTCAGAAGTTGTAAGATATGGAAGTGCGTTCAGTGCAGCGGTAAGGAGGCGATAGTTATCGTACTGAATTTATTATATTACTACAGTTGCATGAATATATAATTTTTATAACAAACTTAGAGACATTTTATATAAAATATTTTTCATTTCTTATCATAATCTTGATTTAAAAGATCGTTGTTTTCTCTTGAACCTCTATTTTTTAAGACAATATTTTTCTCAGGCTGTTTTCTGAAGTACTAACTGACTGGTAATATGCGATAAATAATATTGGCAAGTAATAATTTAATAAAAAAATTAAAAAAAAATCAAATCATTGTGACAGAAAATCTAATAACAAATTTGAATTTCGAATTTCGAGTTCGTTGACATCTCTGTACTTTTTGATTGGAGGATTTTGTCTCTGTCTAATCTATGACTGATAATGATACTATTTCCTTTGTGTATAATACATTAAAGTATTCGTATATGTCCGTTTGTTTCAGCAGAAACACCCACATGTGATATTCGAGGCGCGTACGAAGGCGAACAAGGGGTGCGCCAACAAGCTCGAATTCAGACCGAAGAGTCGACGCACCAAGCATGTGTCGTTCGTCGAAGAACCCCTCGGTGACGACCCTAGAAACTCGTAAGTACAAATCTAAGACATAATCTTAATGAAATAAATCATAATCCAATTCCACTTCGGTAGAGATCAAATAATAATAGATTGTAACTAATAATTTTGTTCGTCTCATTTATATGAATTTAGTTTTATCGAGATTGTCTGACAAACTTTGTTTTTTTTAGGCTTTTGTTTTTTAATTGCTTTTTACAATCATATCTATTTCTTAATTTTGTTAACTAACTAAAGAATTATATAAAGAAGCAAATGATATTTATAGCTCGTAACTTCCACTTTTGTACACTTTTATATTGAAATAAATACCTATCTTCTATACTATCTTACTGATATTATTAATACGAATGTTTGGATGTATGGATGGATGTTTCTTAAAAGGTATCTCCAAAACGGCTCGACAGTTAAAGTTTGCATTAAATAATCTCCGAAACTACTGAACGAATTTGAATAATTGTTTCACTGTCGTGAAGCCACACTATCCCTGGTGACAGAGGCGACGTTTATTACTAGATTTCTTTTAATTCTGCGCGAGCGGAGTGGCGGTCTAAAGCTAGTATTCAGTAGTAATTCATTTTATCTCGGAGTATGACCAAAGAGTTGGCCGTGTCTTATAAATCATGCCATGTCTGCGCCAAACTGAATAATGCAGCGAGTATAAGTTTGCAACTCGTTTCTGAGTTTTTTACTTCTACAACTCGAGTCACTTGTCAATTTACTTAATGAATTCTATTTGAAGCGAATACGTGAATTATAAATTGTATGATGTACAAGTTTCGCGTAAAAGGAATATTTAAGCATAAAAGAAAATAACGAAATTAGTGATAAGGGAAATAATAAAAAATGTAAAATAAACAAAACAATGTTAAATAAATACTCGAAGGAAATCTTACTAATATTATAAATGCGAATGTTTTGATGGCTGGATGATTGTTAGAAATTATCTCCAGAACGACTGCATGGACCTCAATGAAATTAGGCATAGATGTAGAACATAGCCGGAAAGAACAAATTCGCTACTAATTATTTTTGTACTCAGCGCGGACTTATAAATATATACATATTTGTATCGTTTATATCATGATATTACACATTTTTAATAATAAATGAACAAAATATCAAAGTCTTAAGATTAAATGTTTCCGGGAAGCGCGTCGAAGTCGACGTTCCCAATGCGAGAATTTGGAACGTTAACCTATCTGGGGGTCCAATCGGCGCCGTCGATAAGGCGGCTCTTTCACTTATTACACCCACTTTGAAGCTCCCCCGGGGACATTTTAATGATGCCCTTTGACATTCCAAACCGTCGTTACGGGGCATTGATTCGATATTGAACGGTAATGGGCTAGTTAACCGGACTCTGTTTTAGACCCTTAGTCGCCGACTGGCTCTAAATTTGATTAGAAATTCGGAACTGAGAATATTGATGATTAAAAACAGAGTTTAAGGGATAATTAACAAATTTTTGTCAACTGCTATTATTAGATCTGTGTACAATTTAATTTTTTCCTACTTAAATTTAACTATAAATTTTGAGTGATGAAAAATATCAACTCAAGACTCAAAAACTCATAAAAAATGTAATATACCTAGAATTTTCAATTTTAATTTTTCAAAATTTTCATACGCCATCTAAGGAATATAAAAAATAAAGACTAAGTACACGATTCGAAACATTGTTTAAAATTCGAACACCCTGTATTCTGTTATAATTCATAAGATTATCTGCAGGACAAAGACTGGCGTATCTTAAATCAAAATTTGAATAATAATACCATCAGCCGCTTCATCTGAACCCTTCAAAGACGAGAAGACAAATGACTCAACTTCCAAACAGGTATCAAAAGCGTTCCTTGGAAAGACTTAGTTGAACTGTGAACGCGGCTTCAAAATACGACAAAGCTGAGATTAGATTGTCCTTAGATCTGATAAAGAAACTGTTTGAATCACAATTATCGACCTTTCCTAAATTTTATCTGCAATCACAACCTAGAAAGTTTCCTGATTAATTATGACTATATGTATAATAATAAATTAATGACATTATCTATTCAGGTTAGGATCCTAATCTAGATCAGAATAGAACCTAATAAAATGTTAGCTATCACGATTGCACTCCGTTGTAAAGTTAGTGCAAAAATATTTAGTCTTGACTAGCGGTCGCCCGCGAATTTGTTCGAACGAAATTGAAAAAATAAGTATCCTTCGTGTTCTTCCACACTATATTCTACATCTACTACTACACCTTTCATCAAGAAACCAAACCATTGAACCATTGAACCATTTCGGAGATACCTTCTAGATAACAATCATCCATCTATCTAAACCTTCGCATTTATAATATTAGTAAGACTAGCATTAAATTATTCAAACTTTCGTGAGACATTATACTAAACTGATATATAAACAAGGCTAAACGCTCACGTATATTCGTCCGGTGGCGGCACCGACTAGTTTCGAGCCCATCGGGGGCCCCGTCGCTCACTAGCATTATACATTGTTGTATATTTATGGCTTTTTCAGACTTTGCACTTCGTAATATTTCTTAAAACTATAACAAAATACTGATTACTAAAATGATTTGTAATGTATCTATTTATTAACCCTTAATTCGACGAAATTATTTATAACAAAAAACGTTACGTAATTTTCTCTAAGCTAGTTCAGTAGATTTTTTTTAATTAGTTGTTCGTCACACTTCGTCACACCATCGAATTACGCGTTAACCACTAACTTTTTCCTTTAAACAGAATATATAGAGAGATAGATAACAAATAGGTATCCTAGCTGTTATATTGCCATCTTGATTTTTATATGCAAGAATGTCTTTTTTCATAAATAAAAATACAAACGATGTTAATATATACTCGAATCCAATTTCTTCCGCATTTTTAAATTCGATTGAAAAGATTCGAAGAATAGTCTACGGGATATCGTAAAACGAAGTGAATTCTGTAAAATGCTTCTTTTTTCAAATTGCCATTTTTTATTTCGCGCCAAATTGAGACGTCTCTTTATTCAACAAAAGAGTTTCCGGTTATATCCGGTTATATTTCGTTTCGAAAAATGAAGTATTAATAACACTCAGTACCTTCTTTTTTTCGTACAAAGCAGGAAATGAAATTGTCAACGACGAAATGAACAAACAGCGACGGCAAATTAAATATTTTTACCTTAGCAACAATTCCACCGTACCACCGTTAATAAGGCATACTGTTTAATTTATTTAATTAATTGCCCAATGTATGTGACACGAACTTAAAGCGAATATCAATTTCATTTAAATACATGCATTAAATTTACTTTCTACTAATATTATAAGTGGGAATGATTTTACAAGATTTCGTTAAAACGGATCTTGGTAAAATTTGGCTTAGGCTTAAAACATAGTCTGGTTTTTGTAAACTTATATGAGTGTGTGTGTAGCAGGGGTCCACGTAAGTCTCGGGAAGACCGTTCGTGGCGCTGGTGGCAGGAGGCCGGTCTCCCGTCTCTGAGCAGGCGGCGACGGGACGTGCGCGAGACCACAAAGTACATCGAGACCGCGCTCGTCATAGACAAAGCCATGTTCGACAGGAGAAACGGCAGCACACGTTCTGAAGTCGTCCATGATGCTATACAAGTCGCCAATATTGCTGACTTGGTAAGTTGATAGACATAGCCTCTGGTTTCTATAAATCTGTTCCTGGGTCTGTAGTCGTCTAACAAAAACATCCAGAAGTTGAGAAGAAGAAAGGTTGGCTTTGTCAAGGTCAATAAAGAACCTCATTTCTCCACAGACAGTTCTTACAAATCTAATCGAAATTAAGTCAATGACTGCTGTCATAGAGATTATAATTTCCCTGTTATGTACAATTCTATATAATCTTCATCTTTTCAATAGCCATTTCCTTTCTATGAAGATTATCCTAAGATTTTCAAAGAGATATCATCAGATAATATATTTCTGACAGTAGTCTAATATCGTTGTCTCCTCCCCAGTACTTCCGCACACTGAACACACGTGTCTCACTGGTATACATCGAGTCATGGCAGAGCGCGGACCAGGCAGACATCGAGCGTAAGCAAGATATTACACGCGCCATACAGAAGTTCAGTGATTACACCGCCAGGAAACTGTTCAAGATCGAAAAGGATACTACGCAATTGCTCACGTAAGTAACATCAAGTAACAACCCATTCAGTGCCGCAGACTCGCCATGCAAGTTCTTTTTATTAAGTAAAAATTATAGTGGTGTTCAATGTATTAAAATGAACTTTATTCCTCTTTTTTCGAAGCCATCTTTTTATTGGGACAACGGTTATCTTTCATTCAAAGATATTTTATTAAAATCTGTCCAATCCTTTTTTTAAATCTTTAGCTAATATAAACAAAAGTTTCCTCACATTTAGAGAATGTACACCCGAATAAATATTTTTTCATTTTTCTCATAAAAGAAGCTCAAAGATTAAAATTATAATAAAACTAACCTTTGAGCTCTTTAGATATACTTCTAGAATTTTCAAATGTAACGGTCGCAACAGTTTTTTCAAATAGATTTACTGCCACACTCAGATTCTAAGGAAGTTAGTATATTTAATATGAGAAATCTACACTAAGGAATTGATTAAGTTACCAACAAATCACGTCTGTTATATTGTATTACCAATAATTACATTTGTACGATTTTATTGAACATTATTAACGTATCCATAAGTAAAATCAAATAACACTTGTATTCTATAATAGTATCTGAAAGAGAAGGTACAGAGAGCGAGTCGATTGAACCTTTTCAAGTGTTGGAGCGTTATCAGACATTTCCAAGATTAATCTAGCGAAAGCGAAACCCGTCGCATATAAAATTTGAACGATAAACGTTTCCTACGGCGAAGTGTTCACGTAACGCTTCTGCGATTGACATCAAAGGCAATTTATGATTTAACTTTAAGCTATTAAAGTACCTTTTGCAACAGCCGCTTATTTTCGAGGGAGTTATTTTCACAGATTCGCGTCTAGATGCGAACGTGATAATTTCCGACGGATGCCGGATATCCTTTCATAATTTTAAACGATGACAGTTGTTGAGATATCATATTTTCGGGCAGGTCGTTACGTTGTATTAAAAATTAAAACAACGTTACACACGTTTAAGAAACTATAATCAAAAATAAATCCGTTTCTTTACTTGAGCAGCGTTCTATCAACTCTCTGACGTCCCTGCAGCTACCCTATACGGATCACAATTCAATTTGCACGCAATTCATTTCCACACGAGCTTGCTTTTACATGCCAATAAAAACCTAACTCGATTATTCGGCACTTTATTAATTAAGTCACATGTTAACTTACTTCCGACTTCGATATTTTATTTTCCTTTCCATTTTCGACCCAGCGATACATAGTGAGAATCCAGAACAATAAATAAATAAAAAATCGTTACATCAAGCTTAACTAATTAGAAAGATTTTGAAGAGTGAGATTTAATACGTATTTATTGATTTACATTTCTTGCTTTATCAGCAGTTTCCCTTTTCTTATTTTTAACTAACGTGTCCTACGTTTTGATTCCTTTATAACATGTTATAAGTACGAAATAATACAAACAATTCATATCCACTTGACGTAAAAAATAAAATTCTAAACACGAAACACGAGTTCTAATCGACATAATAATTTTGTAAATTACTAAGTTTTTTTTTCGATGTTTTGAGTATGTAAGCATTACAGTTTATTTTGTTTAAATTAAAAAAAATCGTTTTAAAATGCAACCAATAGATGGTGCTATTTCATCTTTTGATTATGGACTTGACGTAGCAGAGCCTCAGTCAATTGGGTTTTGTCGCTTTTTAAAATTAAGATTTGGTTATAATTTAAAAATGTTAACCCTCTTGGTTAACAATAAGTTTTCGTGATACTAGGTCTACTAAACACGAAGAACATTTTAAATAGATTATTATGTTCATCATCAGCTCACTATATGTCCCCACCGAGGGGCTCCGGACCTAACCTAAATTAAGGGTGATTAGGACATAGTCGATCACGCTGGCCAAGAGCGGGTTGGTTAACTTCACACATATTTTGAATTTCTTCTCAGATATGTGCAGGTTGCATCACGATGTTTTCCTTCACCGTAAGAATGCCAGATAAATATATTATGTTCATCTCCTGTTAAATTCCTACACCTAGATATGCAATACAATCTAGTTAATCAGAAATGTACCTAAATATACGAAATCAAGGCGGGTTCATTAGAGTGCTGTCGCATTGTCGGAGTTCATTTGCGCTCTACAATAGTTTGTCAAGGAATATTGACGAAGCATTCACTTCGTAGAGGACGGATTACAAATGAGATAGACTAATAGTATCGTGTAGCATTACGAACTCGTAGCGCCACGCCTACGGATAAATAAAACGGACATCTACGGATTTTATTATATTGGTTCACAGTTTTAAATAAGTATAAAAATACTCGTCTACTTTAATATCAGAGTTATGTAATATTTGTATTGCTAATATTATTTTCAATATAAGGTTTCAGTACTAGATGAAGACTAGTCATTGGTTTAATAGAGAAATTGATAGAATTTCCCAAAAAAAAAGCAATCCCAAATGAATTTTTATTAGGCTTCTATCAATAGACGACGTGACGTCGATACTATTTTATTTTTCATTTCATAAACCTTTGTTGTAATTGACTGAAATATGACAATGTATTCTCGAACAGACATAATAGGTTTCTATAAACATTTATTTAAATCTATGACATTTTGTATAACAAAATTGTTGAATAGTGTACTCATACTTAGCCAGTGCAAGTTGCTCGTTAGCTTAATTAACTATGCTCTTTTTGTTTGGTATCTAAAACACACAGCTTCCAGTTCAAAAGCAACTAACAGTCTGCAGTTCATTGTTCCTATTCAAAGTGACAACTCGACTAGAAACTTCATCACATCTACAATTAGTGCAAAATAACATTCGACTTCAACATGATGGCAATTTAATTTCAGTTGTTGATGTGTTCCTCGCTTTTATGTGTTGAATTACAAACTCTGGTGTAAGCAAGCAACGTCGACCAACTTCGAATTTAAATAAGAAAAAACTTTAAGTTTTTTTTGCATAAAAAAATCTAATTTTAGACTTTAGAGTTCAAAATTATAAGTAAAGACGAGATATTTAAATTAAGAACAACTCTACTCCTACTTACGTAGAATCGTGTGTTTTGCGCTTTTAAAAAATTATACCTATTTTCAGAGGGTTGACATTTCCCGGCGGCGAGTCAGGCATCTCTGTGCCGGACACAATGTGCACGCCGAAGTCAGTGGGCATCTCAGTGGACACCAACACGTACGAGCCGCACCTCCTCGCCGGCACCATGGCACATATGATCGGACACAATATCGGTACAGACTTCAACGGATACTTTGTAACGTGGAGACATTCGTAACAAAACTCTTCTACAGACTCTTAGGAGTTCTATTTTGCATAATTTTAATACGAAGGGAATTTACTCGCCAATAGTAAGTTTTAACAAAGTAATAACTATAATATAGATGGTATCTTCTATGTTCGTCATTAAGTGATTTTAAAATGTGCAACACAAGAATTCAAATGGTATTGAAAGTAGCTAAAGACACCTCGTCTGCTTAGTTCTTTCCTTAATCCCCCAATGGTTCTTTAAAATTCATTAAACAACCTGCAGGCATGGGCCACGATGATGGTCGCGAGCAATGCTTCTGCCGCGACTGGCACGGCTGCATCATGGCGCAGTCCATCGTCGGCCTCGAGAACGTACAGCCGTACAAGTTCTCTGATTGCTCAAAGAACGACTACATCAATGAACTGCGAATTGGACAAGGACTATGTTTGCTCAACAAACCCAACGAGGTAAGTTACTTTCTCGCCACAGTCTATAAATCTTACCTATTGCTGTCCTGGAGTCATTGCAGTGATCATATAATCAATGCCTTAGTATAGATTGCAATACTAAGTGTCGTTTAGTAAACAAACTAATGTGAGTACGCCAGTTAAAACATTATTAGTTTCATATAAAAATGGTTTAAGAAAATACAAAGAATAAGCATTTCATGTTTGTACTTTGTCGTGATGTCAAACAATTTAATTTATAAATGTGTTGCAATTTGAAGTTAAAAGTTTAAAATGTTATTCACACCTATTTATCGTATACGTAAGTATCGATGTCCAGTAAAAAGAGGTTAGCCCTCAGACGCCATTTATCTTGAAATATCCTGGCCTTAAGCCAGACCTGAGTCCGATATGCAAAATCTAAAGTGCTGATATATTTTCTTCTCTAAATCGAATTTAATCCTTTTAGCTTTAATAGCTTTCAAATTTATAGTACGGTAGTTTATAACAATATCAAAGTTTAGTTTAATACGACATCCATTTAAGAACTTTGTTAACCAAAATTCAATGCAAAGTTAAGTTTCAATTCTAACACGCTTGTATTTATTTAGGTTTTAATGTTATATTGCAAATAATAGATTAATTTAAAAGAAACGAAATATTTTAATTTCACTCATCAGACATATTTTAAAACAATTTCATCAAATAAAAAACAATATTGTTTGAAATTTATTGTTTGAATGTAGGAACAATAAAATCAATAAGATCCATTATCGTATAACAAAGAAGTCAAGATTCAAGGAAAACTTTCCGATTCAAATTCCGCGTGTCGAAGTACCGCGGCTTCGAGTTCCATCTCAATCATTAGCGCGTTTGATTCGAATGCAAAACAGATTTCCACCTCGAAAATTAATCAGTGAGACCGCATTGTTTGTCTGCGGGCCTCTCTTCCTTAATAAAAGTTATGTTAATGCGAGGCCGCGCGCCGGATTATCAGTTTGTTCGCGAATATATAATAACAGGCGCCGAGAGACCGAACCACTTTATTGGAATAAATTTACATAGCACACAACTAGGGCTGGCAAACCTGACTACGTTACCTGTAGATATAACACAATACCTGTTGTAACACAAGTTAGTATTACCTCTCAACTGTCATATAGTCCACAACTATGTGTACGATTTCGGTATTAAGTTAACTTGACGTTAACATAATACTGTATGTATTTCTTCTATAAGAACAATTAAAATTGCAAATGTGTCACAGTTGCGCCGTGCAAGGACTGAAAGAAGCGAAAGATGTAGACTGCATTAACAGTTCACTTTAATATCAGAATGTTAGAAATGTTTCGTTGACAGCCCTGTGCCAGTCTAATGCACGCCTCGCCTCGCTTCGATTCGGCATATACATATTTATCGGCAGATGATTGTACCTTAAAGAGTGTTTTTTATTTCTTTGGCTGCGGAGGCACGCACCCCTTTTCTATATTACACGTGTTCAAGGCCGCGTTTGAAAGCCTTCAATCCACGATCGACGCGGCGCGTTCAATTGCAATGTAAATTCAATAGAGGCGCTTCGAAATATATAGACATTCGTCGTTGCCCGCGAATATAAAGTTAGATCGAGATGTGGGCGGGCTTTATAGGCCTTTGTGGGTTGAACGTGGGATACGTTTTGTTTTAGTAAAGGTGTTGTATGTTTTGTTTGATTCACAAATATAGAACAGCGCCCTCTATTGTTAACACCACGACGTTTATTATAACACATTTTGTTATCTGGTGCAGCTGGTGGTACATCGTCAGTGTGGCAACGGACGGTTGGATGAAGGCGAAGAATGCGATTGTGGTACCATTTCGGAATGCCACAACCTCAACCCCTGTTGTGACCCCTTCACCTGCCGTCTCACCAAGGAGGCGCAGTGTGCGTCCGGCGAATGCTGCGAGAGGTGTCAGGTAAATTACACAGTTTTCGACCACCCAGCATATCCAGAGACCAAAAAAAAAAGATTATACAATATCCAGGTATTTTTAGTACAATGTATTAACGTTACATTTTTATTACGACCCTCTCATAAACCATGACAAAAACAAAATAACTAAGAAGATCAAAGCAGAATTACTCTCTTCGTAAGAAGAATAACTAAAATTGTTTCGCAAATATTTTTGTCGTCCCTCGAGATATTTTTTTGTCTCTAAATTCTGTTTATTTAAATTGACATCGCCAACAATAATTTGGTATTCAAATCAATTTCGTAATGGCGTATAATATTTCAGACGCTCATCGAAAATGAGTAACGCGATATTAAATTTAATTGCTCAAGCTATTTTCTGTTTTATTTTAAATATAATTGATGGAGATAATACCGACTTGAAAATTTTATATTAAAGTACTTAAAGGATGAACCCCTTTTTTCTGTTTTTAAACGTTTGAAAAAAGGATTCAAGAGAGATTATTAAGGGTCAGCCTTAATAAGTAAAACTTTTTCTTTTTTTGAGTTTATCTTATTATAAACTTGATTTAACTTTTAAAATCATATTGAGTTTCTCAAGTATTGTTATCAATTTGTAAAAAAGCTTTCTTATACATTTTACCTTTTGTCTCTTCTAGTTAAAACAACGGGGCATCGTCTGTCGAGAATCCTCAAACGAATGTGACTTGGAAGAGACCTGCACAGGGCTCTCAGGAGCTTGTCCTGTCGACGCTCACAGGAAGAATGGAGAACCTTGCGAAGCCGGCAAGGGGTACTGCTTTGCGGGACAATGTCCTACGCTGTCGTTGCAGTGTGAACGGATCTGGGGTCCTGGCACCATCGGCGCGGACAAGGAATGCTTCGAACAATCCAACACTAAAGGAGCGGTGACTGGCCACTGCGGAAAGGATAGCAATGGACATTACATCAAATGTGACATGGAGTGAGTGTATTTTGTAATAAGAATTGATAATTATGACCTCATCACCTTACATGATATGTAAAGTTATTTACAAAACATAATAAAATATCTCGGCCTGATAATTAGACCGACGATTAAAGAGTGTAACATGTTTCAATTGTATAACGGCTAAATATAACAGATTAAGATTAATCGATATTATTGATAATTTTAGCATCTACGGGACCTTCCGTGGATGTTTAACTTGTATGCAAGGCACAAATGATTTCTATAAAGTTTGTTAGTTTTTTTGGATTAAGACCTTCAATTTAGAAGATCATGATAACTAAAATAAACTTTTGCGTGTTCAGGAACGTGAGATGTGGGTCGCTGCAGTGCCAGCTCGGCAACCGGTACCCCGTGGTGCCCGGCATGGACGACTACTACACCAGAACTGTCATCACCATAAAGGGCAATGAGTATGAATGCAAGTGAGTACAGTCAAACATTTACTCTTGAATACCGGTCACCAGCAACTTCATCAGCACAGCATTTAAAAAGTAGGCTATAATATAGGATTCGTTTTCGATTTTACATACAGACATACAAATTGTAATATTATGTATAGATTACAAGTAAAAATAAAAGGAAGGAATAGTATGTTGATCCGGTTGAACTTAAAAATTCTTAATACTCATTACTTATGTATAAACAATTCCAGGGCTACAACTGGTCTGCCCGAGCACTCGGAGATCGGGCCGCTAGGGCTGGTGCGTGACGGTACGCCGTGCGGCGACAACCTCGTCTGCGTCAACCAGACCTGCTCTTCCATCTTCCCCTACATCGACCACACCAAATGCCCCACCGACCATAACAACCACGAGTGTTCTGCTAGAGGGGTGAGTACACTTTATAACAAGCAACTTGACAAAACAAAATCATAAGATGTAAAAACATTATTTTATTGTGTGACGAACTAATATTTGTATCAAGTAAGGAGATTTGCAAATGTGTTCCCTTTAATGGAAGCGAAAGGGATGTACAAAAAGATGACATTTCCTCTTTTTCTTGTCCTACATCTTTTCCTTATAAAATGTTATTTATTCTTCCTTTTTACTAACAACGTGTACCAGGAGATCAGATCAGAAGATTGTCGTAGTTAAGACGTTAATTTTCGCCGACCGCTAAACAATTTAGCGACCACAGCGCCACACCGTAATCCGTGTAGCAAAGGTGCCAGCCGAGGCCGAGCCGCAAACTAACCAGCGCCCTAGTTTAAATTTATTATCATTTAATTGGACCGACCTCGAGATAACATCGGACAATGTTCATTTATAAGCAATTATTTATTTAAATAACAATTAAACTACACTGAAGACTGCCTTAAGACATAAGACACTCCGGACAATCTTAAAATCAGTCAAATCATTTTGGATGAAGACGTCACACTGAAACCTCGAAAAGACACAATCCTCCTGACATTAAGTGTAAAAATCCTGGTTTATTAAGAAATAAACGGAAAATACAAAAGGAGATCGCTAAAAGTTATTTTAATAAAACTGCTTAAAATCAAAGTCAAGTCTCGTATCAGTTCAAATCGTAAATGTTACACATTTATTGTGTCACATAAGACCCCTATCCTGCACGGAATAAATGTTTTTACTGTCCTCTACACCGCTGTCCCTAACATACTTGTTACTTCGTAATTAGCACCTCGTATTGAATTAGTAAAATGGCCGCACAACGGCAAAGTTTCGAGGGTGGTTGCGTTTTAACACAAGTTTGGATATTATTGATTTGAGAAATGTTTGGTTATCCATGCAAAAATTTCCATGTGATGCCTACAAAGGTAGAGAAAGATCAAAGAAAGTATGGATGAATTGTGTGAAAGAGGTTATGACGGCTGATAGAGATGTATGGAGGAGAAGTACATACCGTACCGACCCTCCGTAAGGATAAGGGCAGATTGAAGATGCAAAGACATCCGTGTAAATTGCAAAAATGAAGAATTTAAAATTTACGCAGATAAAAAATTTCTGTGAATATAAAACTCCAAGTCGTAATTTATTTCCAAGACAAATCCAGGTATGATGAGTTTTATCCTTAAAGCTAATATCTTAAACCCGTTGTCTTACCAAGTGTAAGAGCATTCCATAATACTTTAATTAGAATGATGCAGATTCCCCTGCACTACTTTGCTCGTCTTGAAGCTAGATTAATTTATACTTAGACATTTTATTTTAATTTAAGTAAAATAAGTTAGCTCTAAACTTATCTTACCGCAAACAGAATTTACGTCTTCTTTGTGAAAGAGGTTGACAAGCAAAATATCTAATGTCAATTGGCTCCGGAAATTAATCTCAATTTATTTATAACGAACCGAGCTAAAGACAAATTTTATGTTACGTCATCAATTTTCGAATATCATTTTTTAATTGAGCAAAGATAAATAATGAATTTACCAAACTTTATGAATAATTACATAATTATCATTATAAAATCATCGGACAAACAAATGAATCAATCGGTGCGTATAAATGTGGTACACAGACCCTGCCTTGTTTTACGGAAGTTCGGGAATATATAAGTTTTAATTCGGCACCAATTAAACTTTGTCCGGGGCCGACGAGCACTATAAGCGATTTCAGCGGCCACTGATTTCTGTAATACGAAAACATTTCGCAAGCCAAGCTTCCGGCCAACGCCTCAACTAATTGACGAAAATTTGTGTTTAATTTGTACAAAACATTTTCGCCAACATTAATTTTGTATTTCAACAACAATTTATATATTATTAAAATGTTATTAAGGACACATTTGTAAAGCATGTTTCGAAAATAATTTTCGATTCACAATATTTATATATAAACGAAACGAGTTCTCATATGCCATATGCAGTGGTCTAGGGAACGGATTAAATACTTTTATTTTTAATTAATTAATTTATTTGTCTTTCCAGGTGTGTTCCAACGCCAACAAGTGTGTGTGCAACCGCGGCTGGACAGGACCGGACTGTTCGCAGCCGGACGCGTTGCCGCCCTCGCCGGCGCCCTACGTCCCTGAGAACACCACCAAGACCGCCTACAACATGACTAAGAAAGAGACGCCATATGGTGAGTCAACACCAGTACTATTTCACGAAACTATTATAATACATAACCAATTTAAAAACAAATTAAAATACTTGTGTTATCAATAATACTAGATGTCAAATGGAATTTGAGAAACATTTTAAAAACTCAATTATTTGATTATTTGACTAAAAAATTTTTTTTTTGAATCGATATTACTTACTCAGTTTCGTTAATTGGTCACTAAATCTTTATAAAGGGAGACTGTTAACGTCTCTGAGTGAGGCATTTAGAGTTAGAAATGTTTCTGATTGTCAACATGTTAATACATGAAAAGAAATTGTAATTATATTTAATGACAAAATTAAAATTTCTCTATATATTTGACGAAGTTAATCATAGTGTTGTTGCGACGACTGGGTTCGATTCCCAGTTGAGACAAAAAAAGTGTAAATAAATTTAATAAAAATGGAAAATGTTGTTTAGGTTTTAAAACTATATTCTTCATTGATTACAAATTTTGAGATTTGTTTAAATTTTTTCATCTATTAAGTAACAGAAATTTAGACTAAAATATAAAGTCAGTAATAATTAGAATATAAGTTATACTTATAACATCTACTTTCTATTCTTGTCAACTTGAAATTTGGCCAATTTTTTGTTTTTATTTCTATTTTCATTTACACTACTGTCGCTTTCTAAAAAACCCTGTTATAAATTGTTTTTGGTTGCATATTCTTCTGTTTTCTCTAACACTTTATTAATTTCTTCTTTTGCTTTTTTACTTTCAGGTTTCTCGAGAGGTTTTGGGTGATGGTTTTCTCAAACGTAATAATAATATTCATTTCTGGGAGCTACTCTTTTGTTAAAATGTCTTTTGAATTCAAATACTTCATTGGATTCAAAAAACATCACTATTTGTGGTCACCATCACTCATAACCGATCTGCAGCTCCGTCTACTAATTGCTGTGTTATGATTTCAGGTGTATGTCAGTCTGTCTGTACTATTCCCCTACTGTATTTACTTTGTACTGCTTATAAAAATGCAATTGGCCATATTCGAGCACTGCTCTTCCAAATTAATGAAACTTTATGAGAGTAAGACTTGTTGAGAAATAGAGTTTGGAGTAGTAAGTGTGGGCAGGGCATTGCTCGGAATGCGCGGTGGAGCGCGGGCGTCGCCGGCGCACTAACGCGCGGGACCCCTCTCTTGCAGGTGTGCACGAGGGGAATAAGATGAGCACCATGAACATGGTCATTATGTTGCTCGCGGTCGTGCTCTCCGTGTTCGTGGGGTTCGCCTGGATGGCGTACTGCTTCAGGTAACCGGTATCTCGGTGTTGTCGCGCTGTGAACGTCGTGTCGTATGGTTTTGTCGTTTCGTGTCGTATCGCATCGTATCGTATGTTACCGCACCGCACTGTACGGACCGCGGGGCCACGACCGCGAGCCCGCCGGCGCCGCCCGCGCTCGTTGGGCCCCGACCCCCGGGGCTCACCGACCGCAGCGGCTGCGCGACTCACGAACCTTCTCTTTGGGCGCAGAGAACTACCACGGCTCGAACACGGTATTCCTCGTGGCGGTGCTCATGTCTGTGGTAGGGGGGGTATTCATAGTATTTGCCCTGAGCGCTCTCTGCTACAGGTCAGTCGTAGTACACAAAAACTTCTCCCTGTGCCTAAGGTTAGTGAGCAGAAAACAGACCAAAGGTAGTCTTTAAGGAGAAATTTAAATCGTCACCTTCGTATACTTGTATGTTTATTTTAGACGTTAGCGTTGGTGTTTCTTTTTCGTATTCGACGATTGAGTTTATGTTTTGGTTATTTGGAGATTTTTGTCGTTTGCGTTGTGGTCGTAGAACTAGTCGGCGGGTGCAACTGCATTTGATCTGTGGTTCTGCGTCCGCGGCGGCCGGGCGTCGCGCCGCTGTGCCCGCGCACTCGCCGCGCACTGCCGCGCCGCGCCGCGCCGCCCGGTCGCCTGCTGCATGCCTACGGGGCTTTCCACGTCGTATTCGAGCGACACCTCGAAGCAAACCCTTAAGATTCTGGGCTCTTGGATGTATGCATTGGCTTATGTGAACTGTGACTCGTTTTCGTTTCCTTTCTTGGTCGGCGACCGCGTTGCCGGGCCCCGGGCGCCGGGACGCCCCCCGGTTCCTGGCGGCGCGGTCGCATCTATATCTTCCCGTCACCCATGTCCCCCGCGCCTCCCGCCTCCCTCGCGCGATTATTAAACCAAAATTACCGTTATTGTGACACCGCGTCCCTCTGACCTTCACTGCTGAGGTATGTACATGTTGCAAAGAATATGGAACAGAGAGAAGATATAGATCCTTCGACTTGACTTCACCGACCATCACCTCTCAACATCACCACCGATATCTATCAACTCTTGCACGAGAAGCGAATGTGCGATGCACGGAATCTTCTTTCATGCAGCTGTCTATCTAGTTAGCTACGCCTGATGTTCTGTATTTAACGTATCAGTTGTATCTTTCCATTAAAAAAATTAAAAATAGATATCATCAGAAGTTTCTTTCCATTCATTTAGATAGATTATGTTCAGTATAATTTTTCATAATTTAATAGAGAACGTCCATCTTCTGATGATATGAGTAGCATTAGCGAATAGATTTTACCTACAATCATATTAAAGAATTACATCTATTACTTCGTATTTAACATTTTTACTGGAAAGACGCTGAAATCACTAAGCTAAGATCAATCTTACGATTATGTTACCATTCGACATTAATTCCCATGAGGAATGAAACGAAAAGTAAACATGTAGTCAGATTCAAAATCTTTCAATAATTTTTACATTGATTAAAATATCCAAAAGCGCCAGCCTCGCAATTGATTAAACATATGTTACTCTTGAATACTATGGACAATCAAAATTCTAACTTTCAGAATAATTTACAAGATAAACTATTAAAATTGTATTAAAATCTTTCATAGTACACAAGAGTAAACATTATTGAATAAATTTGCCAAAGATAAACGAAAGCTGATGCCTTAGACTTGATTTTCTTTGTAATATAGCATTAACAAAGATTAAAATGGAAAATGTCTTAATGCTTTGATTTTAAATTGACCATTATGAAGAATTACAACATCTCTAACATATTCTGAATTAAAAAAAAAAACTAGATTTCATCACAAGACCTTTTACATGTTTCTGTGAGTAAATAAATTACAAAACTAAATTTATTATTAAACTTGTGGAATATTACTGGGACCAAAAAAAGAAAAGCGTTTTAATGCAACGAATAACCATTAACTGGATAAAGGTTAAGGAGGATGTGAATAAGAAAATTCCCGTAGATGGTATGTCGATGAAACAAAAGGCAATCAGCTTTAGTTATCTCAGAGAATAAATTCAAAATTTTGAAAATTGAATAGAAATCTCTTTGGAAACGAAAACTAAAATCGAAATTACAAAATCAAATCCCTATTAAATTTGGAGGTGTTCTCGATCCCTTTCATTGGTGAAAACTAGCTCAATGTTATAAACGTAATCGATTGATCTGAGTGTGCGTTTCCACGCCACGCCTGCATCAGGAAAAAGAGCACGTTGCCGAAGTACGATCCGCCTTACGTCAAGAAACCTAACCTTGGCAAGAGCTTCCCCGCCGGCTCCACCGCGTCCAACAACTCGCAAGAGGACATCTCCCTCGACGGCGGCAAAATGCATTCCTTTAACAACACATTCAGGTATGACATCAGCCATAACTCTCCTGTTATCTAAATTTACGTTATCCCCTGTCTCACTTCCAATTCCGTTAACCATGTTTAACACTTTCAATCTAAATCTAAACTAATTCTACGTTTTATCTTTAAATATATTTTCTACATCTTTAAAATAAACAAATCAGTTTAACACAAAACATTTCTCACTTTTCATATCAACTCACAACTTCTCTCTAACGGCCAACTTGATAATTTTAAACGAGTTTCAGACGACTTGTTACTTATCTGATTATTTTATCTTTTTCTATCTTATATTTTCTTCATTTATGTTGTGCTGAAACACGTTTATTTCTTACAAATATCCTTTGTTTAATTTGTTCCCAAAATTAAATTATTGTTTCCTCTTCTAAACGGATCTGGTGTTCTCAAACAGAAATCTTTTAAGGTATGTCGACGCTTGCCGCAATTCTCTTGCGCCTCACCGCTCTATTACAACTTTTTTTCACACGATTTTCGCTTTTATTTCACTGAGCTTAAGAATGCTTTGGTTGACACATTGACTAGTTCACCTTTGAAATCCTCATTGAATACAGTTTTTAGTGTGACCGAGCACATTCACACATTTACTTACGCGTTAAGAAGACACGCTTTGAGTACATATTTCTCTGTATTATACATGAAAACTTTTTTCTTAATTGCATTTGACTTAGATTTAACCTGCATATGAGTATATACTAGTGAATTCGTTACGATACAATCCTACTTACATATCATTTGACAAAATTGCTTCGTAACTATAGCACTACGACAGTTCTAGGTAAAAATAATAAATTGATGATTTTTCTTTGATACTTCAACTTAAGATTTTGGTACTAAAAGTAATATAAAGATAGAAATTAAAATAACCACACACGACAGAAAAACTGTCTTTAAACCTAAATTATAATGCCACAAATGTTAAACTCTTCTAATATTTGAAAACATAGAAATCAGCACTAAGCTGTGAGGAAAAAGTTATTGAAAAAAGGAAACTGTTTTTTAAAATTAATTAACTAATTATTCGAGGTTGTGTAAATATATTAATATAAGGAATAGACGAAAGTGAGAGAAACAGTACAATGAATCTCACTAAGTAAACGTAGAATGGAACTTAGCTGTATCTCAGAACCCTGTTCAAACAGTGTTACCATATCACACGAGTAGCATTAGGTTTGCAAACTTAGGCTTTAACATAGTACTAGTATGTAGGAATAGATCATTTTAAGCCTTGAAATTTTCAGCCGCGGTGATTCTCAGCGCGTGATCTTCAAACATGGAAACCATATGTCGGGAGCAGGCAGTACTAGTAGATACCCGTAAGTAGATCGGTTAAGACGATGACAGAATGCAGGATGAAGTATATTACGGCCTCTGCGCATTGTGCGGTAAACCTGAACACAGTCAGTCGTCCAGTTTGTACCAAGAATCGATGAAATTGTAATATTCTACATGTTACTAACGTCCAATGGGACAGTTTCTATTCAAACAAAATATACGGTTAAGAAACAGTTTGCAGTCATTTTCAAGCGAGCGGGACGGCTGACCCCTCAATGCGTACGTCGCCTTAAAGCATTAAGCATGGCACGGCACAGACCCTATAGTAGTAGGCACCGACTTTTAGCCATGCCATAAAGAGACGGAGGGCTAGAGACGGCATACAATAAATGTAAACTCGATTAATTAAAGTTTGAGTATACTGGATAACGTTGGCTTCACGGTAAAAAGTTTCCAAGAGAGAACATCCATTGTTCATACATTATGCCATTGCCCATTTCATTTCATTGAGCGCTCTACGCTTTTGTGTATTATACCTACACAAACCTTCCGTTTAAATATTCTTACCTTTGAATATAATTATTGTCAAAAACATTATCTATGTTGCAGAGATCACAAACAAATGAAGCGAGTTCATTCCGGCAGCGAGGACGAGCCCACGCATTCAGGTATGTTACTTCTTAATAATTACGTTCTGAAACGTAAAAAAGTATATATTTGGGCTTAAATCTTAAAATAGCTAATTGCCCATTTTTTTTTTCTATTTCTAGGTGAAGAAGATATAGCATTCATAGACGTAGCACCCAACTCAATGGCCAAGCTTCCGGAAAAAGGAATCCTCAAGAAGCATGGCTATGGAGCTGTGGATGGCAAGGACAAATGGGGAGACGACTCCCAGTCGGAGCAGCTGGAGGCAGGCTCGCAGTCCGACGGACAAGAACCTTCGGGCGCTGTCGCTGATATGGAGTATAAATTTAAAGTAAGTTTGACGATCCTGTAGTTGTAGAACTTAAGTCACCTAACTCGAATTTATTGATTTACGAGTACTTTAAAATGTATCTACTAAATAAAAACATATTTCTTTTAGGACTTAAACGGTTACCACGAGAATATAATCGTGGCCCTGAAGTCTGCGGCCGCCCAGCGCGCCAGCGGGCAGGTGGCGGTAGGATCGGGCGACCTGCGGGCACTGCAGGAGTACGAGTACAAGCGGGAGCGCGCCCCCAGCGCAGAGAAGATCCACGAGACAGAGTTGCGTCGTCAGCGAGCCGGCGACGAGGAGGAGGACGAGGCACCACAGTGCGGGCCAATCAGGATCAGGAACCTGGAGGATCTGATCCGGCAGCTGGAACACCACTCCAGCCGGCACATGAGCCCCTCCGGCTCCGAGGACATACGGATGTCGGAAACGGAGGCGGACAGACATTATAGGATCGAGCCGGGGGAGGTGCCCGCGTGAGTATGCTTTTGTAAAACATTGTTGTGTATGCCAATCTTTCATGATTATCCTTGGACATTCATGTCAGAAGTACTTTTTATGTTTTACTTTGAACGGTATCTACAAATATTTAACGAATAAATTATTTACAATTTTTGATCAACAATCGATGCATCTATTAAAAGCACACATAATTATAGGCGTTGCCGAGGTCGCGTCGGTGAGGAGGAGTCGCGGTTCGCGTACCCTCGGTTCCGCGGCAGCGCGCGTCATCACCCTGGCATGTACGCTGGCGGGCCGTCGACGGCCGTGATGCACGGGGCACACGGGTCGCACGTGGGTCACCCGGGGCACGTGGCGCATGCGGGGCACGCGGGGCACTCGCGCGCGCCCCCTGACGACGATGCGCTGTACGAGACGGCGGACGCGGAGCGGCTGCGCGACGCCCCAGACAGCGAGAGGTGAGCATCGCATTAAACACTTTTTTATAATTATTATTATTTTTTATATTCTCTTGCAAAGTAATAAAAATTACACCAGACACGATGTGCCTTTGAAAAGCTATTTATAGTCGAGTCATAATATATGTCCCAACAAGTTAGTAAATAGTAAAGTTCATAGTCGCTAAATGGATATGTAAAACTATGTTATAGCGCACAAGCCACTGTCATGATGTTGGCATATTTAAAATCCATCTCAGTTCGCTGCCACTTACAAAAACATATTAATGACATATCAACATAATATTTACCACTTTCATTGCAGCACCAAGACACTGTGCTAGGACTAACCGGCGGGCTCCACGGTCTAACTCTTCAACGTACTAAATTTTTTATTTAAACAATTTTAAAGTTATCAAAAATTACAGTAACAAAAATAAGAGGATGATAAGTAAATCTTGCATCTCTTAAGAAATTCGAAAGTATTGGAAAATTTTAAAAAGTAATGTGTCTACATTTGACCACGAATAGATTACAGATGAATGTAAATAAATGAGAATTGGCTTAGCGGCGCGGGGAGCGTAGACCCGGGAGCCCGCGGAGCGCGCGCCTGCACTGTCCCTTCCTCTTCTCTATCATTTTCTAGTGATGAATTTATTCAAGCTCAACAACAGTTAGCCCGGTGGGCGAGTGAAGACGCGGTGCCGGTGGCGGCGCGCGAGTACTACCCCTCGCCGGCGGGCAGCGAGAGCTCCGACGCGCGGCACGGGCCCCACGCGGCCCACCCGGCTCACGCGCCCGCCGCCTTCCCCGAGTACAACCACTGACCCCCCGCGCCCCGCGGCCCCCGCCGGCCACACGTAGCCCGTTAGCACCGCACCTAGAGCGCGACGCAGCGTCGCCTCTCAATACGTATTTCGGTGAACTGTAAATATAATGCACATATATAAACAATATGACTGAAAAATATAATATTGATGAAGCTAGTGTAGCCGCGAGGCGAGCCCGCGCCGCCCGGGCCCGCGCCTTCTTACAATGTTTATATTCGTTCCATAAATCGATACGCTTTACTCTTATTATATGTTCTGCGGGTCCGTGCGGCGCCGGCGCGGCCTGCATCTCTAAAGTAGCTTTAAGGAAATCATCATTGTACGGACGTAGCGTAAGTGTTGTGCGGTGCGACGCGACCGAGCTCGCGCCCCGCCGCGCCCACCGCTCGGGTGGCTTCCCATTTAGATAGGCGATTAACAAATTGAGCTAAATGTAACCCTAAGCGAAGCTTTAATGTCTCAGTTTGGTGAGCACCGCGACGAGCTCGGCCGCGTCACTGAACTGTGAGAGTCTACATTTAGTTTAAAGTTTCCGGACGTTCGCGGTAGCGACGGCGGCGCTGTGAGCGGGCGCAGAGGGCGCGCGCGACGCATCCGTCCCGGAGTCACAGCCCGCGCGCCCCCCGCCCCGTACGTTGCGTCCCGCGCCTCGCTTAGGGTGCTCGCACACTGAGCTCAATGTGTCACATGACGTTGTAATCCAAAAACGTTCTAAACACTTTTGTTGAATGTCGTTATATTTTAAAATTTGTTAGATAATAAAATTACTCGCATACAATAAAGTTTAATTTTACAACTATTTATATAATTTGTTGATTTCTATATGTATACAAGATATATTGTAATATGGATATTTAACGTTATGTAATGTACGCTATTTAATATTTTAAAGCTTCAGTCTATGAGAGCTCGTTCTCATTTCAAGGGTAAAAATGACACCAATTTATCGCTCGAGATCTCACTCAAGGAGAAAACAATAAAAATAACATAATAGTAAATCTAGTTTTGAATTTCTCAAATTAGCTCTCGCACACCGTGCACTAGACATTTTTATATCTAGCCCATAATGTACACAAGTTCTAAATAGATTCAGTATTGTGAATAAAGTTTATTTGAAATTTTACCAAAATATACACTATATAAATAATAAATATGATGTTTACGATTGTATTGACTCTGAAACGAATTTACGTCAGAACATAGAAAGGTGAAGAGTCGAAGTGTTATGGTTCAATTTACGTTTGTTTGTTTGTGAACGAATTAGGAGGTTATTGTTTCCATTCGGAGTTACGCTAGGCTAGGTGGCGCCGCCACGAATATTAATCGTAGGTTAAAGTACAGTTAACGTATTGAATAGTGACCGCATCCGGCAGGGCCCGGCTACGTCCGACTGCGTCCGGCTGTGTCCGGCTGCATCCGGCTACGTCCGGCAGTCGCGCGTCGGCTCTCAAATAAATTAATCCCATTAGATATTCGTTATGATAATTAAGAATTGAATAATATTGACGCGTACAGTACAGGGTAGTCGTGATCAGTACTGTGTGCCGGCGCGGCGCCCCCGCCCCGCCCCGCTCCGCCTCGCCCGCCGCTCGTGGGTTCGCGTCGCTAACGACACAACACTGCCTGTTAATGATGTGATTAGAAAAAGTGTATCGTTTTTGAATTAAATTAAGAGACGTTGTCCTTTACATTATAAGTAATTGTAATCTATCTCTACATCACTTCATCTCATACTTATCCACGAATAAAAATGATCTCAATTCGTCCTAATGTTGTGACTTTCCAAACTAATCATATCCATAGATGACATTAGTCGTAACTTCTTTATTGAACATGTATCTTACTGTTTATATTAATCAAGCTTTATTATTCTATATAATGACTGGTATGGGTCTTGGTCATCATCATTATCATCATCATCACTTGAAATCCACTAGATAGGTAGGCAAAAGTATCTCTGTAGATTTATTTCTCACAAGAGAAAACTCATCTACTTAGTTTATCAAGCTTGCATTTAGTAAAGGACAACTCAGTAGTTTGTAGAAGAACCTTCATTGCGGTCGAACGGCACCAATCGTTCAAGTGACAGTAACTGCGAAGAGGTGCGCGGGGAGCGCCGGCCGGCGGGCGACGCGTGCGCGCGCTCTGGTCGTACGGACCCGTCTGCGTTCGTGGCCCGTATTACGAGAGCCGTAAGGGTGATTTTGAAGCTGCACAGATGGTACGTAGGCCTAACACGTCAATTGCGGACGGCGCGTACACCGCCATTGCTCAGGGCCGTGTTCCGGCTGCCGCGGGGCGCGCTTAGGGTCCTTAGAAGAATTATTATGACAAACCCTTCGCCCGCGCCCCGCTGTCGGCCGATAACGATTCGGGTCATCGTCACCGAGGGCTTTTGTATCGCACCAACTGATGTCATGATATTTGACTGTATAATATTGTAATATGATTTGTAGATTTAAGAATGGGTAGAAGTGAACGCACATATGGATAATATTAGTTCGTGTTATTTTACTAAATCTTTTTTAAACTAATTTTGTGTATTATGTTTGTTACTTTTTCAATTTCATAATGTTACATTATTTGAGTCAAACTAATTTATTTGATTGTTAACTTGTTCGTACTTAAAATTTTACTTTAGAAACATTTTTATTTATGAAAATATATAATACGCACATTAAGTTGTCAAAGTTTTAATTTGAAAATTTGTACTAATTACTAATTAGCCAATGCTAATTTAATTTATAACGATTTTGTGAAAACAATTGTTAATTTACTGTATTTTAAATTACTGTGTTTCGTAAACCTTGATGTGTTGGCTTAATTTTTGCATCCTTTAATAGAATTTATCTCGATAAGATTTTATTTAAACTCTTGTACATTTTGTTTTTTTTTCTAAAACATAATCTTAATACTGTTTCGTTAATGATGACTTCGGAAGCGATTGTAGAGTAATGTATGAAATGATTATGATTGTCCTAGAAGTCATTTAAAGAGGCTTCTAAACCCTAAGTCTCAGGTTTATGTAAAACTGCCCGATAGGTTTAGAGACCAGGAAGCAAGTTAGAAAGTCTAACCGTCGGCTTCTACTGCTGTTGCACCTGTAAAAAAACATATTGTTATCTCTGATGTTTTCAAAGGAGGTAGGGGACGACTATATGTTTATATGGAGTGTTTCGGTAGTGAAAACTCACTTAGACTTTTAAGATATGCGATAAAGTAATGCTCAATAAGTTATTCTGTTTAAGGTGACGATAACTCAGTCGTAGAACACGCCGTACTAACTAAATTAGATATATAAACGTTAAGCGATATTATGTAATATAAAAATACGAATTTTAAACGAAACAAAAAAAAACGTTGAAACGTTGTGTCATTTTCCGTTTTTGTTTTTGGTCCTTGTAAATATATTAAAGTATATGATTTATTAAATGAATGTAACATATTAATAATGAAAGGAAATAGATGAACACAAATTTTATCTAGTTGTTTTATTTATCCTCAACCATACAGAACTGTGAACAAGCTGCAAACAAATAACATCTTATAGAGAACATAGAGAGACTTAATCTCATCACTACGCTTGCCAGATTTTAGACGTCCACTATAAGCGTATCTTCTGTGTGCTCGTGTCATTGCACCGGTATTACAAATTATTCCTGCTGACTCTATCACTTTTAATATAAATACATTTTACTTAAACATATAGTAACATTAACAAATCTAACGAATAATTTTATATATCTGGAAATAAAGAAATATTTTTATATTAAAGCTAATAAAACAACGTTCAAGTTAAGTCATTTAATTTTACACAGATACATCTGTACTTTCACTTTTCCTTCTAATTAGAAACTTGGCAAAGTCATCTTTTTCGGGATCGAATGTGGATTTCTTGTCGCACTGCGCTGTCGCCGCGGCCTGCTGTATTTGTTCGCCGAAAGCTTTTACGTCTTCCTTCAAGAACTCCACCAAATATTTACGAGTGTCCATAATTACCACGGCATCATCTCTCGCCATTGACCATACGCTAGGCTTTACGCGTGGGAGCATATTCTGCCCAACGAACACCCCATGGAACAAGCCTTGAAAGGGAGGCTTGTGAGGATACTGATCCAAAGCAGACAGAGAAAGAAAATGAACCTTACCGTAATCAACGTTAATATAAGTATCGCGGTCTTCTCTAAGCAATAGAGGTGCTTCAGGCACACTCTCAGATATCTTGGCGTCGATCTGGCTCATCACCACCAAACCCAAATTCTTCTCATCCTCCAAGTTCATCAAATTAACATCAAACTTTTGTCGATTTTCAAGTTCGTACAGCATCCGCATAACGTTACGCTCCGATACATCGGTCGCTCTCTTAAAATTAGCACCCTGAGTAGAACGTAACATATCCTTATCCTCGCAATCCAATCCATACGCGATGTATGGAGACGTCACAATATCTCCGAGATATCCGCGATGCAAGTATCTCTCTCCGCATTTGTACGCACCAGCTGCAAATGTAACATTGGGCCGACATACCTCCGTTTCCAGCCAAGTAAATGGCACTCCATGTTCCCTAAAATGCTTATACTCCTGAAAAGATATTTGCTTCGCTATTTCTCTCAGGCGCATGTGATAGTCCCAGTCGTAAACACCAGCTCTGGTGTCATATCGCAAGCCGAGACTGTGTCGCACACGATGCTCCCAGAGCTCGCACGCGTTAAACTGATTTGTATTTCCTGTTGTCCAGAAATTGAATAGATTCTCTATGTAGTCCCTTTCGCGGTATTTCATCTGATCTATCGATATACACGGAAGGAGGCAGCTCATGTACTCAGTGTTAGTAATCATGCCAATTAGTTGACGTGCTTTGGCGGATAAATACCTGGAGGTAGAAGGTCGAAGTAGAATGTTTCCATATACTTCCAAGAACCGCCTGGTCTTTTCGAGTAGACCACATTTCGTCGTTCTTTCCAAAGCGAGGGACATTAGTAGAATTTGTCTGGCAATGAGCTCTGGACAACCATCGACGACAAATATGTTCATGTAACGCCTCGTATGGCGGTATGCTTGGGACAGAGTCTTAATAAGATGGCGCGCATCACAGCCACCGATAACTAGGAAATTGAGCTCATACGAGTTTTCGTCTCCATGTTTTAAATACTCCTCTTGCAAATCTAGCGCAGGACTAGTCCCCCAGAACATTTTTGTCTCGACACAACAACGATCGACTGAGAAATGGCCAAGTTGTCAATGTCATAACAACGTAAACAAGCACTGAAGCGTGTGCAGTGGGGGGTTGCCATGGAAACAGGCTATTTATGACACTGTGTCTTATTTTTTCACTGCACTCCTCGGGGATGCGTCCACTTAACTAATGACCTGATAATCTAGAAAGCCAGTCAAACGATCATTTAAGTATTGATTTTATATAAGAAAGTCTAAATTTATGTCCAAGCATATAAAATAATGGAACCTATCGCTAAACAAAATACATAATACGATTAGCATACAAAATGGCTTAAAGATATGTGTGAAGTCAACCAACCCGAACTTGGCCAGCGTGTTTGACTATGGCCTAATCACCCATAACTTTGGGTAGGCTTCGAACTCCTCGGTGGGGACGTATAGTGAGCTGATGATGATGATACAAAATGGCTTGACGGTACATAATTTTTTTTTTTACCATTTTCATTTCGTGGACAAAATTGCGTTGCGGATGATTTTAGGTAGGGGTTGGTAAGACACAAGAAAGAAGTAATTCTAAGACGTAAATTTTTTATTTATATTAATTTCATTTAAATAAATTCTTACATTAAATGCCTCATTATACTAATTTAATAGCAATATCGTTTATTAAAAACTAATTTTGTTCTGTACAAGAATAATATTATTTACAGCTCTCCTTCCAATAATACCATAAATAGTAGATAAGTATATTTACTAGATAAATAAATTAAAAATATATTTAAGTAGTCTTTGTTAAAATTAATAATCCAAGTTTATTAAACAAAGTCATTTAAGAGTTTTAGGAACAATATTGTGAAATTTTATCAATTTTAATTTGTTCTTAAAAGAATTAGGAAATAGTACATCTCTTTTGTAGAATATGAAATAAGCTAATATCAAGCTTCTTAAGAGATGTATCCAGATCTCAATGATAGATATTAATATTTGAAGATGATTTGCTTTCATTTGTAGTCTTTGTCAAAACTAAATACCACAATCCGTGACCTTTATATTTTAAGGTCTCCTCGATTTCTCTTTCAATTCCTTAAAATCTTTAAAAACATCGTATATTTTGTTTATTAACTATTATCCCGTGATGATGGAATTCTTAAAATTACTACAGAGGGGCTTCATGTACCTTCACAACACTTCCTGTTTGCTCTTTCCTCTCAATAAACTGTTTTTATAATTAGTACGTGCTTCTTAATCTAAATTCTGTTCCAAATGTACCTAGGTATCTTGCTATTAGCTGCCAATTATTAATACTCTGAAGTACAAGACTAGATTTGACTACAACTACGGAATATAGTAAAGGAATCACTAAAGTTATAACTGAACAGAGCATTCATATTTTTTGTTGCATCTTTTAGATATACGCTTAGACCTTCGTCAAGAAAATCTGGAATCGTCCGGAGAAGCTAATGACCTAGGTTTAGAATTTTTCGAGTCCATCAATGCAGGATTACCTCGCCAACCGGCACCCGTGCTGCGATTGGAGTAAGTAGAAGAAGTCACAGGAACTTTGCGTGTTTGTGTAATCTTTAACTTATTTAACCATAAGTCTCTAGTCTTTTTATTCCCTAATACAAAGAATAAAAACAGTATAAAGCCCTGGAATGTTACCGTTAAAGTAAAAAGATATGCAGCAACTATATTAAATGCAAACAAACCGAATATCCAGGGCAAACCGAAAAGGAACACGAGTAAACAACTGACAGAGGCACAGCGCAACGCCTCGTTTGAGTCCCCGTGCCTCTGAATCCTTCTAGAAGCGAACACGGAACGAACTATCAGACAAAATAGCGTCCAGTTAGCTAGCAACATGATAGCTATAGGTGCGTACACCGCCAGCCATAGAGCGAGCCCAGAAGGATAGCAAAATGCACCACTCGGCGACTTCTCTTCAAAACGACCCGCATAGGAGTGGGGGGAGATCGAGAGAAGAATACCCACGACAGCACAGGGAGCGCCCCAGGAAAATGCTGACGCCCTCAGCAGCTTGTGAGAAGCATCACGTGTAAACACCAAAACCAGTCTTCTATAAGATAAAACGGCTGCAACCAGCATCCAACAGAAAGATGCTAAAACAGAGTAATGTAAAGCAACCCCTAGCAACATGCAACCGACGTTGTACTCATTGAACTTGGCAAATACTACTATTAAGAAACAAACAACAAGGAAAAATACAGCTATACAAAGCTGCAGCCAGATCTTGTTACTGTAGTCTCTCCTCCATGTCCTGAACATGGCTGCCGTCACGCCTACCATTAAAAGACCTAAAAGAGATACGCAACATCCGATAATAGAGAGAATTTCTAAGATGTCCTCATCACGCTGAGAAAATACTGATCTGGGCACGAGAATTTCAGCAAAGTGCGTAAGGTGGTCGCATCTGCAGGTATCCATGGACCCCGGCTGTGTGGCTCTGATAAAGGTGCAGCCTTCTTGAGACCAGTACCCGGTGCCGTCGTCAAAGAAGTGCCAGTAGGCACACGCGCGACTCAGGTTTCTGTCTGGGTCACTTGTCAGTGGGTTGATGTGAATATCAACGACCTGCCAAAAAGTTGTTTATTGTTTACACCTAACTTAGCCAGTTAAATAACAAGACGAATAGTAATACTGACCTCTCCATGTCCAAACTGAGTGATATTTTCAACATTGACGCTGAGGACTCTGCTGTTGACAGAGAGTCTGTCGTGTGTGGAGGCGAAGGCGCGGTCGTTACGGAACACGACGAAACTGATTCGTCGCGACGACTCCGCCACCGACTGCGGCAGGTGCACCACCGCTTCGTTCTCCTCCACGTTCAGAGTCGAAGAATTCAATTCTTCTGTTAAAATTTAACGGAACATTAATCCCATTGATAATTAACACAAAAAATTAAATATAACCATGTAATTAATTCCAGTAAAACATGAAGTGACACAAAGACCACCTGAACCAGTGGCAAGTGTCGGAACAGTTTGGAGATAAACACTTGCAATTAAATAACGAAAAATCTTTAAATCCAATTTTAAAAGTAGTTAACACCAGTCTTAAATCACCTGAAAGCACTTCAAATGAATTTTTATTAAATCTAGTTTCATTGCTAGCGGCAATCCTCAACCCTCGGACGGGGTTGCTGGGCTTCGCGTCAGCCATCACGAGGGCGATGTTTCCTCTCACTGCGGTTGCGTTGTCCGAACCATTCAGATATACAGCGGAGCCAAGCTTGTCCAGCATGTGGAGAAGTTCCCCAGGGATATCGAGCTGGTCTTCTACATTAAGGAGGACGTCCACCTGGAAGCAAATATTACATATTTCTTAGAAATGTCAAAACACATAAGTTCCTTGTTACCAACTTTATACAAACCAACAGGGCATATAAAGAACAAAAAATACTTTTCAAATTTGTTGCTTTAATGCGTGAACTAATCCAAACAATCCTTAATTTTTTCCCTCTGGCACTTATTTCGTATTAACATAATGTGCCATATCTGAACGCGTCCTTGAAACGTCGCTTATTAAATTTACATGCACAATACTAATAATAGATTTTCGATCGTACTAATCTCTAAAAGCGATCTTTGTCACATACCTACATACAAACCATTAAATCCACACGTATTTGGGTCTTTTTTCTTTTTTCGGAATATTATTCTGCATTTGGTGAAAGATTTTATTATGTAATAGCAGGCCTAGCTACAATTACTTTTTAATATATTTTACTAACCTGATCAAACACTTGATCGATGCTGTCCACCAGAATAGGTCCTGTTTCGTTACTCAGCAGTCGGTCGAGGTCTTCGAGAATTTGCTGCAGCTGTTCTTCGGGCTGAAATATTAAACGCCAACTATTAATGCCTCGACCATGTTAATAAAATTTACCATTGACTAAAAACAAAAAAAAACTAATGGGATAGGATTTAAGGATTTATGGCAAGGATTTCTGTGGTGACATCAACTGTGGCTGCTCACCAACTGTTTCTTTTGTTATCTTCAACTACATATTATTTTGGGCCTTCAGCTCGTTTCGTCCTAAATGTTAAGAGGCCTCAAATAACTTACCGGTTTTGTAGTAGGAATGTCCGTTGTGACAACAACTGTTGTTTGTTCCGTCGTTTCCGTGGTAGTTACAGTTGTGGTTGGTGGAAGAGTATCAGTTGACACAACTTCTGTTGTCTCTGTCTGACACTCTGTTGTCGAGGGTTCCGTAGTAGTTGGTCGCGGCGGAGTTGGTTTCGGTCTAGAATTTTCTGTTGATTCCTCTGAACTTTCGCTGCCTGGTTCGCGCATATGAGGATGTTCTTGTCGTGTCTACAATGCGGTTTAGTGTTGTGAGGTTAGTTAGAGCGTGTATATGAATTATATTTGGCCTCGCAATACCACAACAAAAGTAGTTGTCACACCTTACTTACCATCGAAATAATTTTGTGTAACAAGACATATAATTATTAGTTAAACATGCTTTTTTATAAGTGAATTTAAATTGGTCTAAAACAGTTGCTTCTTGGAACATGGGTATAATTAAAAATTGCTTTCTTAAAAATACTTACTACATTTAATGTACGTAACAGACGTAATAAATTCGCTGTGTAGTTTCGTAAATGTATAAACATAGTTTTGGCTAGAAAGACAATGTAGAAAGCGGCGTAGCTTTTAAGAAAGAGAAATTAAAAAGTTAGTGTTATACTCGTATTTTAAACGATAACACTTGAAATTGAAAAGTAACGAAAATTCATTATTTTCGTATTAATAAAATTAACTAGTAAATAGTAATGGAAATTCCATAGAAAACACTGCTAATAAGGATTTTAACTAAATACACATGCACGTGAGTGATTATTTACAGTTGAAGTGAATTATTCATACTCATAAACAAGTCACAAATATTTGTACTCACAGTATCGCGGGGCTCCACTGTCGGCATGATACGATGGACCATGTCATCTTGTGACCTGGTGTTAACGCGTATAGTCGTGTGTGCCAACAGAGGTAATTTTGTCGTACAACTCTCGGTAGCTGTGGTCACCCACTGCACACCTTCGTTGAAGTCTCCCACACACTGATAAGTTCGGCAACCAGACGTTGTCGTTGATTCACCTGGAATTGACCACGTTGGTAAACACTATGAGAAGTGAGTTAGAGTGAGATATTTAGAATGTGAAGAATGTATAATGATTATTATGGATTAAATTGAATTGTCCACGAAAAGTATTAATGTTCATTCTAATCTCCTTTTGATGTTAAAAGATCGTCATCAACTACTACATGAATAGAATGAGTAACATTTACTTGGATATAATTGCAGCGAACCAATTAAGGAACAATGATTTACGCAATTTTATAGGCAAATTTGAATTGATAGAGAAGCTGCGTCTTATAATTGAAGCAGTACTAATTATCGAGATCATTATAACACTAATATATAATTAAATTGCAGATCGATTGATTGCTAAGAACTAATTTTCATCTGAAGTTCATTGCATTTTTTATTAGTGAACTAAAAAAAATCAAATGTTTCATTAATTGCACAATGCCTAGCTCTGTTTGCATTTTTCTTGCCCAACATTTACCTATAAAAATGTTGTGACATCCTTCTTTAGGCAAAGATATGAAATAACAATGAATCCCCATGTAGGTGTTCAGTTGGATGCTAATCTAATTGACCCACTGGTAATGTTCTTTATTGTCAGGGGTCAGAAGGTGAGGCCGGATGCGGTGTTAATTATCATGAAATGTCGCGAGTAACGTGAGTGACGAATTTAACATTAGTTATTACTTGCAAATTAATAACGTTAAGAATAGTAAATAAACTGTGTAGTAATCAAACTTTTAAATACTTGGCAGTACTTTGCGTTGTATTGGCATTAAAAGTAATAGAAACTATACACACCTAATTTTAAAGTCTGCACCGAATCAAATCCTTTACAATAATATGCTGGTTTCATATATTCCACTTCCATGTCTTCCCACCAGCCCGGCATCACTGGCATCATCTCAGAGTTCAGTGCAATATGAAGCAAAGCCGTTCTTCCATCTAAATATAGCCTCTTTATTTTAGAATTATGTATAACTTCTTTATCCTTCCAATCTAGTCCTGGTGTCACTGATTTGAATTGTTTCAACACCTTCTGAGTATCGTTAGCGTAAAGAGATTCCTCTCCATAAATTTGTGTGTATTTCGTACGATAGAATATAAATTCCTTTAGCTTCTTCAACCATTGTCTGTATGTTTTCTCCAAATTTTCGAAATTATATGGTTTCTTTAGGCGTATTTTGGTCGCGTAAACATTACCCACGGACTGCTTCTCTCTAATGAACAGTACTTTGTTGGACTCTGCTACATGATAGGTCTCGGTATCGGTGTGAACGCACCAGTAATAGCCGTCAGTTATCGGCTTCAGTTCAAACACGTTGGTGTCGTCCTCGCGATGCACTTTGATCCTAGTCGGGTAGTGTATCACAGAATCGGAGAAGCAGTACACGTCGCTTTCTCGCAATGAATCATTAACTCGTAACAACAATTTGTTGTCCCTAAAATAGAAAAAATTCTAGAAAAACGTTGCGATTTAATAGATCCTAGAAACTATTATTTTATAACAAAATCTAGTTTACCTATCGAGTGTAACGTTCATCGTAATGTTTTTCATTTGAATAGCTCTTTCGCAAATCACGTCGTAGAATATGTAAGAACTGTTGACAAGGTACCAGAAGTTGTCGTGTAAAGAGCCCAGCAGGGTATCTGATGAATGCACGTTTTCTTCAAAATTCCATTCTGATTCCGGTATCTGAATTAGGTTAAACGAAGATTAACAACTAACTCTATAGTGACAAATGGATATCAAATTCATAAAATAATAAAATGATACTTACCTCACAATGGTCATCTTCGGCATCATACCGTAACATAGAGAAGTCAGAACTCATAATGATGCCTAAAGGATACGTCCTACTGTACCCGGCCGCCTGAAACATTGGATTGTTCGCATTCCTCCAGCCTCTGTTCAGAATCGATCCACCGTTCTTCTCACACAGTTCCTGAGCTTGCCGCCACGTCGCCCGGACTGGACCTCCACTTACACCACTCAAGACCGAAAGGCAAGTGGGTCGTGGACTTGAGAACCGCCATGATTCCCAAAGATCACCGCAACCTTCATCAGTCATTTCATCTTCGTCTGGATAGGGCTTCAAAAAACAGTACCTATAATGTTTCTCATCACATTTCGTCGCCGTAAAGTTACTCACTGGGTCAATCACTAAGCATAACTCCTCGTGTAGACCCAACTCTTGATTATAGTTGACATCATAAGTTGATAATAAGAGTCGACCGATCGAACTTGAGTAAGACCAGTCTATGAAAGGACCACCGGGATATAAGGTTTTGTATTCTGTCCATATAACTGTATTTGGATTTGCAATATTCAAACTATTATACAAAGATGAGGAAAATAAATTGCCAACGCAATCGTCGAATATATCTGCAAACACTTCGGGACCTTTTTTCCTGTAACATATTGGTTCTTCTTTCTGCTTCGTTAAGGCTAACTGAAAGCCTACAGGACATATTGGTGTCTTCTGTTTCTTTCCATTGCTTTCGTTAATGTTTATCCAAAATACAAACAATAGGTATACAGTTTTACCTATGGACGACCACCGCAGGATCATCTGTAAGAGAAATAATTTGATTTAAAGTTCCAATGTCATATTGATAACTATGACTATTACCTTCAATAAAAAGCTAAAGTTATAAATATTCAGGTGGGTGTAGATAACATCACCGTATAATATATACTCTTTCAAATTATAAATTAATTTTGTATATGATAAAAATTTGCATAGTCGCGTGTAACTATGTAATTAATTGAAGTTTGGTCAGTGTTTGGTTCAAAATAATCTACGCCAAATAAGTTTTTTGGCAATCGATTAATTATACTAGTCCCGGTTGCATAATCGTGCTGCTTTGATTATGAAAATTTGTTTGTATCTTGATACTATTTTTGGATGTTTTTCTGTATAAACGTTTTGGGGAATTGAACAAGTTACACACAAAATTAAGTGCGGATATCTGGCGATTCGTTGATTATCTTATCGAGTTAACAAGCAGGCGGTGATAGTGGGCAATCGGTACTTCACTGTATTGCCTGTATTCGGATATTATCGTCTCTGATTGTCGCCGAACCGTGAATTCTTGCTTAATGCTTTTAATACGCAGAGCTTTGATAAATTTACTAACAATGTTAATAATGTTTATGTCAACATTAAATTATACAAACAGAAATAAACTGCATTAGCTTTCTGAAATTGTACCTTAGCATTACCGATATTAGTGCTAGTTTAGTAATACATAGATCTTCCTTAAGTACATTTTAATTACATATTTATCTCACTTCTTACAATGCATAGATGTTTGTTTGAAGGTATCTCCAAAACGGCCGAACCGATCTCAATGAAATTTGGCATATACGTAGAACATGTCTGTCAGAACACATAGGCTACTAATTATGTTTTTTTAATTTCAAGAGGTCATAGTCGCGGACAAAAGTTATCTTTCTACACAAAATACAATCAAGTAGTTGTGAGATTGTCTTCCGGTAAGTATAAAAACTAGTTTCCGATTTCCTAAATGGACGACAATTATACCTCAGCAACTTTTCAACCTTTTACGGAGGCCGAGCACGTTAAAGGTTAAATTTTATAATTACAGAAAAAAAAACAATTTTGTTTAGTTTATTTCAACTAAGATAAAACAAATCACACTGGAACCAAAAGGGCTAATCCTAAGACTATAAACAGTACAGTTAAATATAAATGTATTCTGAACACGCAGACGCCGTGAGTCCCAGCAGTTGGTGATTAGGTGTGACAAATCAATATAAAGCGTGGATACAATCCGTTATGAGCAGGGACAGTTATACTGGATAGCTTAGGAAATCTTACTATCTTACTAATATTATAAATGCGAATGTTTGGATGGATGTTTGTTTGAAGATTCCAGAACGAATGCACGGATCTCACTGAAATATAGCATACATATGTAGAACATAGTCTGGAAGAACACATAGGCTACTAATTAAGTTTTCTTTAATTCCGCGCGGAATGAATCGCGGGCGACAGCTAGTTTACTTATGTGATACATAGCCTTCGTATTAAAAAAAAATTGTAGTTGATTTCAATACTTCCTGTCACACTCAGATTCATGGTTACTAAAACAGTGTTTCAGGGCAGATTTTTCATAGGACAATTAATATAAACTTAGAGATTTCCTTAGTGATCGCTTAACGGCTTTGAATTAGTGTTTGCAAAATTATAGTTATCATTTGCTTTTCTCGTTTCTCATTGATAAATTTGATTTTTTGATTGATGATGATGATTTTTTTTTCATTTTTCTGAATTCGTACGTTCTGAATCATGACACATGTGGTTTTGAAATTATTCATAATATATCACTTCATGGAATTCGTCATATAATTTATTACTAATGTAACAAATATTGGAAACACGCGTTATCTTCACAAGAGTCATCGATAGCTTTTGTTGATTTAATGACGACATAATATTTTCAGAAAGGAAATGAGAACGAAAAATCTATTTAACTTATTATAAAGGTATAAAGATCTGTCTATAAAAGCAAATATGAAGTTCCAAGTATTATACAAATATGTAAGAAGAATAAAGCAGTTAGTTAAGACAATTTTAATTAAAATAATAACGGAAAAGAATAACATTTAATTCTAAAATATGTGGTACCTATTAAAGAACTTTTTCATACTAATATTCTTAGAAATATATATTATATTTAGAAGTTTTCCACATATACAGAACAATACGACGTAACACGACCTTGTTTTCTATCAGCAATACTATATAAGTTTATCAATTTACAAGTACGAGTACTGCCTTATACGTGGCATTAGCACTGCCTATATATTTCACAATACATTGTGAAGAGTTTCAGAAGACCAGACACTTTGAATTTAACTTTTTCGTTTTTTATCTTGACTATAATATCTATACCTATATTATTTGGATTTATAAATAGTAAAACTTACTAAGAAAAGGAGAAAACCTTAATGATTTGGTTTGCTAAATTGATCTTCTGCCTTCTGAATATATTCATAGTTCATTTCGTTTACATCGTTTCATTTCCACTGCCTATACGTATGTACCATGCAATCATTATCTTCGCAAAATAGTTATGAAATATGTTTTTATACATGTTTCGGTTGTAGAAACTCACATATAAGTACATAATTTCCATCAATGACAATTGTCCTCGATGTCGCAACGATTGCTTATTCCGAGAATATAAGATCCAATTAGATGGAAATATCCCATCCCTCCCTCACCCCTTCCCCCGGGGAAATTATGTCGATGCATTGAATTGTCGTGCGACCGCTCGCAGCGCATAATACGGATTTTTTGCGTGAAACCGACCAATTAATCTCACGTGATGTGGAACACGAACGATTAAATCAATGAAACGATACTACCATATACTATATCCGTAGTCAGGTACTATTTTTATTAAGAATTATGAACTAAGAACACCCTGTAACTGACGAGTTGGAGACATTTAATATAATACGCTAAATTCATTACTGTACTTGTTTCAGTACGGTTTCGAATTTGACGTATACTATTTTGAATTATTATGCTTTGATATACTGGGCGAAATAACACTGCAAGCCAAAAAAAATTGATGGAGCAGTATCCCGCCCTCTTACTGAGTACTGCATTTGTACATAAAATATTTATCTTTACATTAAATAAACCCTGCATAAAAATCACTTAACAAATAATAAAAATACTGACTTTACAGCCTCAACAAACCGTAACATAACAGCTTACTTTTAATCGTTCAAGTATCTTTTTGCTTTCTCGTCCGATTACTGTGGCTGGTCATCTTCTCACGAGCCTCTCAGCGCGCGAGTCGAAGGCCACATTTCCACGGTACACCTTCCCACGATCCGTGATCTTGGATGACGTATCGCTTCCGGCGTGACGTCGGTTCCGCCTCGTGAGCCTGTAAGGAATCATAGTTTTTACATCGGAATGCCAGTAAACATGTCATGCTTGGATAGAAATTAACTATCTTATTGTTACATCTGTTATTGTTGTTTCGTTGGTTTTTCTTGTAATATAACAATAGAATGGACCGTTAGAAATTTATTATAATATGTTCCAGTTTTTTTTATTAATAGACCACAGTTAGTGTAGCGTAATTTTTTTGTGTCTTGTTTCATATTTTATAAAGGAAATTCTGTAATATTCCATAACAGATTAAAATAATTATTACTCTTTGTTCCATATTCAGTATATTAATGCTTTTCTTATTATGTAATAGAAATAATAGGTTTTTGAAAACAAAGAAGGTACACATTTAAATGTAGTAAAAGTTACCAAACTATTAACATTAACTTGAAGATTACTCAACATTCATAACAGTTGAGTAATAAGCTAGCTTACATAATACGTATATGTACTATATAGTTAATTTTGTTGGAGTGATTTAAAATATTAAAATTTATATAGAAACAATGGTATATATATATACATAATTGAAGACTTGATAGTTATGTAAAAGTAAGTTATATAAAACGCTGAAAATATATCAGTAAGTGTGTTTTTATTCTAAGTATTATAAGATATTCGTCGAAGTAGCGAAGTGACCACTGTCCATTGACATCCGAATTCTACGCATTGATAAAAGCGTTGCCTACATGCAATCAATCGAAGAGGAGACGCACAGATACAGGATATCTCTCCTTCCTCTGATTTCCTCTGCCAAAACCATTCCTTTCCTTTGCCATCCTTTCCTTGAACTTAAAGGGTGGAAGGTAAAAGAGGACTAAAATTGGCACGCAGACTCATCCGACGATATGCTGAATTATTTCCACTTGAGGCGTGTCTTCTGTGTAACGTGAACCGTCCCATCCGTACACAAGATGTTATTGCAGGCTCTAGCCCTGTTAGAATGAATTCTCTATGATAAATTCATTTACTTTATTAGAATATCTCCTTTTAAAAACGGCGTACAAGATGAAATTCTGTCTATTTCATAATTAAACATAAATTTCCCTACAGTAACATTAATGCAACGCTATCATAAATAACGTTAATTAAAGCCAAATTACACTTGCAAATAATCGTTTTGTCTTTCCTACAGTCGCGTGACTAAGTCAAATAAATGATTATTAATCATCACCTCGTGCTACCATTTCTAAACATTTTCTGTCTCAAGGGCAGAGACTTAACACCATAAAATTTGATAATGTCAAAGTCACGGAGCTGTGATTAACAAAATATTTTTGAGAAATCGTCACCTTATTATTCATAATTCTAGTATTTTGCGTATAAATAATTTAACGCTCTTGAAATTGGCCTTAAAAATTATAGGAATAGTAATTTCGGAATGATACTGAATTTATATTTTTACTTTTACCGTATCTGAGTTATTATTGAAATGTCAAACCCATTTCGTAATCTCACGAGATCAATTTGGCGATTTACAAGTGCCATTATGTGATTTATGGCAAACTAGAGTGTCCACGATTTTCAGGGGTAAAATTTTTATTAATAATAACATTTTTTTATACACTCGTTTGCCAAAGTCGCATCCATTTTGTGCATATTTACCTAATTAAAATATTTTGAACAGCTCCTAAATATATTTCTAATGCAAATATAACATTTGAAATACAAATTCAATCATTAGTATAACCATAAGTAGTTATTCCTTATAAGAATCCTACAAGGAATTGTTTCTTTGTAATAAAAACTTAAATATCCTATAGAAATAAATACACGTGGTATTTCTTGCACGTGCTACTTTTTCTCGCGACAAATCATTATCACCAGTTTAAGGTCTTGTTCCTTCTGAATCATAATTATAGACAAGTACAAGCTGTAAAAAATATGTACGCATTACGTTAAAAGTCAGAACATGTTCGTTCTTCGAAAACAAAACATTGTGAACTAATTACTTTAAATTAGGAACCTTTTATTATAGTGTTTTCGGATACAAACACATAATTTGCATGTTACATGTTCATAATAGTTGTACTTAAGTTGTTTAACACAAAAGTATTTTCCATCATATCTGGTTGCAGTAGATTACGTCAACCATGTTATTCTATCTTTTTCAAAAACAACGGGAAGGAACACATGTTACTGTGATTCGACAATAGAAATTCACAGCATGCATTCATTCACAACTTGTCATAATTAATTACAAAAGGTACAGCGCACTGGAGCGACAATTTCCAATACAAGTAGCGATTTCTGTAGCAGTTCGTGACGGCAGCGAATGGCCTATCATCAAGGAGATATCGTGAATACTGCGACCATATTAGTGTTACCATCAAAAATATCTTACAATAAAACTGATGTTCACACATATTTATAAATAATTTTAATTTAATCTCAACACATGTTCTTAAGTAAAAACTATAACGTGGTCACAAACCTACGAGCGTCTTTTTTTTACATTTTTTTAATACTTTCGATTATTTCTTTTAAATCTTGTTATCACAATGAGGTCACCTCAGGCACACTTAGCATAGTTATTAATAATAGAACAAGCTTGTCCACATAATAATGTCGCAGCAATGTCATCCTAGTGTCTAGTATTGGGTGCAGTTAGCTGTGGACTAAATAAATATTTTATGTGTAATCCCAACGTCGTAGCTACACCCGCTTGACGTCAATCCATCTTTTACATAGACAGAAAAAACGTACAAGTTTACAAGGAAATAGACAGGAGAAACACCCTTATATCATAACGAATAAAACATTGAACATTGAATGAGGTAAGGATTGGACGAGGCAAGAGAGATAAACTTCAGGAGGCGAATATTTATGCTTCCCCTCTCCTCTGTCCAATGACGGTAGCCACGCACGCATTCATCTACGACATATTTTCTTAATGCAATTGTCTTTGTAGAAATAATTTAACATAAAGTAACCGACTTACTCAACCGACAAAACATCATTCAACATAACAGTGGGACCGAAGCTATGATAAAGGAGAGATAAATTTTCATTTATATCACATCAACAATGGAATATAAATGTCAAACGTGAAACTGTCGCCTGTTGCTATGTTATACTTATTACATCACGTTACATCATAGTTACAGTATATTGATACGAATTAATGTTTAAGTCATAATTTCAATGTAACAGCCTTCTTTACGTCACCTATATTACGTTAAATAATTAAAAAAATGAGTTAATAATTAATAACTACAAATATTAATTGTAAACGTGTTATATGATAATTAGTTATTTCTTATACTGTGTGAGAGAAAGCAAATACTTCGCGCGACGGACACGTAACATATTCATGTTACAGATACATCGCATGATTCCAGTTTACTTTGAATAACAAGATATCATCTCAACAGCTAAAATATTTATAAATAATTATTACCATGAACATAGTTTTAAGTTTAAAAAGCCAATAAGAAGGAAAAACTATCCTGCACTGACCTCTATACGTGGACTGGCGTAAGACGTAATATTTTGTGCTTATTTCATTTTCGCCATTTTGGAGTCAATTCGGTTTGTAACGGTGGTGTGAAATCGAACTAATAATATAGAAAGAATTAACTGTCACGTAACATCAACAGGCGCGTTTAAATCGCCTATCCATTTTTATAGATCCAATTCCAGTGAATAAATACGACACTGGCAGAAGGTATTCGGTTATCTTGCCACAGATCATAACAGTACCGTAAAATTCGAATAAAAATTCAAAACACCCCTTAAGTACATTTATTTATATGATCAGTGCTTAATTGTTTACACATCATGTCCCTAAATACAATGCAATATAAAACATTTTTGTATTCATATTTCTGTACAGTTGGATGGTACGATGTTACAACTAACTAGGAGTGATATCTTATCGTAATGTTTACGTTTCTAACGTGTCTGATTCAGTCGTGAGCTCAAAGTTACACATGAAGTATGAAGTCATGAACTATGAATGAATTTGTTTTTATATTAAAGTCCTTTGTTATCTATTTAAAACTACACAATGGAGATTGAATACTACACATTCATTGATTGGTTTAAGGTTTCCTAAAAAAATATGAAGTGTTTAACCGTTTTCATTGTTTCTTCACGAATTTTCAAGAGTCAATGCTCCGTTGTTATGACGTATTTCTACTAACGAATTAACGCGCATCTACATGCGAACAAATTAGTTTTATCACACATTCACAACTTTAATATAATCACGCTAATTGCACAGGAATAAGGTTCAAATTCAATTAACCTTTGTAGAGGTTGTATTTGGATGAAATAAGATATCGAGGGAAAAGTTAATGAATGAGATTTCAATTATGAGACAGACGCACTCAAATTAGTCACTAAAGAAGATCCTTAGTGCAAGTTCCTCATATTAATACTAAATATACGTAAAGTACAACATAACATTCTTTTTCTTTATTTTTATTTTTTTGAAAATATTAGCAGATTTTTTTTGTAAACTTACTAATATATCTTTTACCATTCCAACTAAGCTGTAGGTTTGTGCTAAGATATGGTTTACGACAATAGAGAATGGTGGGATTCGAACCACCGAGTTAATGTTCGGAAATCCGTACCTACCCTTAAGCTATTGTCGCTTAATTCATATTACATATTAAAGTAAAAAATAATCAAAAAGATTTAAACAAAATATCTAAAAGACTAATAAAATATGTAAACCACAGTAAATCTAAAGACAAAAGAATTGCAGGCAGACTAGACTATTAAATTCTTCGAAACGCACTATATAAACAATTCGATCATTAAGAGCACAGATCTTAAAACCATTACATACAACAATCCCACTTTTAACTGTTTAAAGGAAAAAACGATTCCATTGAATTTTATTGCGTTTTTCTTATTAAACAGACATCAATTACGAAATAACAATGAACTAATTTCCTGTATCCGAAACACTGGTATAAAAACCAGACAAAATTCTAGAGAAAATGCAGTTGAAACACTTTTTGGAATTATGGAACACATTTT